AAACCCAGGATGGGCATTACCAAAATGCCCTTTTAGTGCCCACAGGGGAAGGGAAAAGAGTAAAAAAATACGCAGAAGTATTTGTAAGCTTTAAACTGTAGTTAAATACTCTTAATTAATGGTTCAAAATATAAATGCCTACAATTTAAGAAAATAAAATGATTTTTTTCTGATCTCTACTGTTAATTTATAAATTAAAATGTATTTGATCTTGAAAAAGTTAATTTGTAGTTTTATTCTAACGATTCTAAAGGTGAATATAAATTTATTAGTCAATATAATCTTTAAATTATGTAGAACAGTTTAATAATAATAACTGAAGAAAATTGGTACAGAATTTAAAAGACAATTATAAAACTTCCTCAGAAATTTATTACTGTTGTTCGTTATTTAAATATATAATATGTGGATCTGTCAGATTGAAACGACCCTATAAAATGGAGTGGAATGATGGGATGAAGCAAATGACACAAGGGCGATCTGACAAAAGGGAGTGCCTTCCCAGAGGGCTTTCTATAGAAAACTGGCCCATAGAAAGTCCTCCGGGTATTAGACACGTGAAGATTACTTATAATAAATCCGTTGCCGTTTTTAGAGCAGGAAGATGGAGAGCATATAGAACTAAATCTTTGATTGAATCGTCAATTCCTCTACCATATCTGTAATCACATCTGTAATTAAAATAACAACGTTGCATTTTGTTTCTTAACTTCCGAAATTTGTTAGAAAACGTACATAATGTGCACATTAAAGAGACAACCGCGTCAAATTATAAAACACATAAAAAAAGATTATTCCGAAACTAATGAATCTATTATGTTTTTCAACTAGGTCAGTATTCTCCAAACTTTTTTTAATGGCGACTCCCTTTTTTTGGATAAAATTTACGACCCCAATAATTTTTAGTAGGTTTTAGTTTTAATTATCCAATAGTAGCACATTAAGAGGCTTGGTTAGCTAACTTTTTTTGTTTTTATATCATATTTTATTATTTTTGAAAGTTTTTGAGTACTACTCATATACTCTACAATCATCATAATTCTCAAAATCTTATTCATATACGTGTACTGTACACGTATATTCATGACATATTCACATACATCTTTTAACAAATGGGCGATTTCTTCTCTGTTTAATAGGCTATATTAATCAAAGGAATTTTGCATTAGTGAAAAATATACGGCATTTATTTTTGTTTAATACGCCTATATTCATAATTAAATCTATTAGGAATATATTTCAATAACGGATAAAAATAAATTGCATTTGCAGAGACCTAAGAAAGCATAACGATCAGTAAATAGAATACATCAATAAAATATTTTCATATAGATTATAATTCATTTATCCGTTATACTTAGATGAATTATTAATATAATTGTCGTTATCATCATCATCGCTTTTCCAAAGACTTTTTTCTTTTAATTCTTTCCATCCGTATATACTAACAGGATCTTTTTTAGCAAGCCCATTATGCGATGTCCCGTCTGTAGTGAAAGAATGTTTCTTTTTTTACTCGTAATACGGGATGAAACAAAAATATAAAGCTAATACTTCTCATACACGACAATTATACACATATATTTATAAATGTTTTCGTAAAGACGATTAAAGTCATAAATTTACCCTAGTATATCTTCAATATCTTCAGTCACTTGGTGTTACCAGAGAGAAATGAGCTCCTATTCTTTCTCTTATATAATATTATTAATCATATCTTGTTTAAATCGACTTTCCTTTTAAGAATTAAATATTTACAAAGTTCAAAAATTCATTATTCATTCACTAACATTATTCACTAACAATTCAAAAATAAATCTTAAATGATGAAACTTCCAAACGCACATTTCATTTTTATCTGAATTTGCTACATAATTTTAGTAGTTTATTACAATTCAAACCTATGAATAAATTTACGTAACAGTTATTTTTAAATATAACTCAAACTTATATTGAAGAGGTCCAAAGCGTAACAAAGACAAACTTTTTGTCTTTTTGTCTTTTTGTCTCTGACAAAAGTTTTGTCAAACTGGAGATGATGTAGGTAGCCCTTAGTACTTGATACTGAGATTATTTATTTCTCTACCCGAAATGTAACATTGATCCTACTTACATCCACAGCAAAACGTGACTTCTCCACTTAACATGCTTAACAAAATGTAACATACTCGTTTGACGTACACAAGGCTGAATTTATCTCGTTTTGCATTTTTTTTCAGAATTGGATAAGGCATTTTTTTTATCTTTGCAATAATGATACAAACATTTATGAACTTATTATTAGTAAGGTTTAATAGACTGCAACTTTGATTTAGGTGTTATTAACAACCAAAAAAACACAACACCTTAATTTGCTGAGAAAAAATTAAATTAAATTAAATTAAATTTTTTTTCTCAGCAAATTAAGGTGGNGTAAATATAATTGTAATTACAGTCAGAGATTATTTGTATGTTGTGCTAAATCGTCTTAAATTGATTTCCTTCAGTTATTTTATTGCTGCATTCATGCGTACACTCGTGCAATGCTAGAAAAATGTTTGTTTTCCCTCGCTGGAATGGGTAAGTATAACTAGTAAATATGCTTATATAACATATATTCTATAAGCATATATACTATTTACGTTTTAAAAAAAATCAGTGCATTCTTACACTATTAAGGTATTTTATATAAATTGAATATTTTCTTTAGATTTTTTTAGTATTAAAGCATTTATTCTCAATGAGTTTTTGAGTATATATAATTTTAAATCTCCTCTTTCAACTTTCCAACAAATTTCCTTTTTCTACGGCTTCTTCAACTTCTTTATCCAACTTTTTCATACCCACCTCTTTTGCGTTTTTTATTATTCGATGACTTTAATTGATGTTATATAGTGTAAAAATTAATTACAGGATATTGGGAGTATAAGATGTAATATAATATAAACAATATTAAGAATAACATAAACAAGGAATATATCTACATTTATTGAAAAATCTGTTTCTGACATAATTACAATTACTAAATATTATAAATAGTTATAATATCCTTGTCTCCAGGTCATCGTAGTCAGTCTGTTTCCAACGTATACAAATATATTTTATTTGATTCGAGGTTTTACCATTTATACTAATTAAATTTTTTAATAAATCTATTAAATTTTATAAACAAAATTTCTAAAATTCCAGTTATAAGTTATATAATATTAAAACTTTACCAACTTCAAAAAGATAACTTTCGTCATGTTATTTTACTTTTAACATCGGGTCATTGATATTTTAGTATTCACTAAAACATCTGTCTTTTGTAATGGGGCGTTTGTTGACGAATGGTTGCTAAGTAATTACGAAACGGAGGAAAATATAGGAAAATCAATGGGGCGGAATAAGAAAAGTAGCAGATATATTTTTGACTTGTGGCAATCTGACGGATTGTTACGGAGTGTTACATTAGCTGACGGTGCATTAAGACACTAACTTAAAGATCCTTAAATATAAGTTCCTATGGTTATAAATTCTTTCATATCAAGATTTTGATTTTATAACAAAATATTGTTTGTTTAGCTTCTAGCTTGAAAACTATTAAATTACCTCCACCTGAACCAGTTGAAAAAGTGTTTGTTCATCAACTTAATTTAACGTAAGTATTGATTTCTTGAATGCCTATTATAAACCGAAACTTGTTAGAATTAAGTTATTCTATAAATATTAAATAAGAAGTAAATATCAACTATTAAATTAACTAAAGTTTAAGAATTAAAAGTTTTGAATAATTTAATTTACATAAGATTTTTAGAATTTACGAAAATGAGTCAAAATGAAACATTAAAGATGAGAAAAAATGCATTGAATTAATTTTTTCTCGTATTATTGCCCAATTTTGTTTTTGTTTTTTTATGGACCGAACTGATCGTGCAGTTTTTTTATATATTAGATTGTAGCAGACACAAATACACCGGATATTATGACGAATATATTACTGATTATGACATGCACACATTCCTCTACTTAACTGCAATCAGATCATGCAGAGGATGCCGCACAGCGATTTGAATGGTGCAACATAATGTTAAATTTACAGCAGGACAAATCACAACACCTTTGGCACATTTTATAGACTGTCGAGGCACTTTCTTCCGTATTGGACTGTATAATCATAACAATGCGTACTAGTGATCAGAGAGTGTCCCACGGTGCACGCAACTTACACGATACCAAGTGTGTTTTACCCTGAACGTCTGGTGTGAAATTTGGTTAGTTAGTACTTAGCTACTTAGTCTCGTATTCATTGATGGCATCTTAAATAGTGACCAATATCTGAACATCGCAAACAACGATGGACAAATGGCTTGTTGACTTGCCATTGTCGAAACTGTAGCAGGTTTGGAATCAACACGATGGTGCACCACCTCATTGTCGGAGTGACTTCGTCAGTGGCCCGCAGAGTGGTTTCGCAAATGCTGGAGAGAACTGTACGGTCTCGTTTCATGGCCATCACATTCCCTGGACTTGACCCCTCTGGATTTTTCCCTATGGTGCACTTGAAAGCATCGGTATACGATGCGTACTCAACAGCGCAGCGTGATGTTGGCGAACCGAAGAGATGTATACAAGAGGTCTTTGAAACGGTGACACTAGGAATGCTGCCTGCCATCCATGTCACGCTCGACCTTCTACATCATTGATTCTCAACTTTACGAGGCCTCAAAACACCATTCATATACTTTTTATTACACGGAGCATTAGCATCAATATATTCAAAAATTGATAAGCAATTCCATGTTACTGTTCTCAGGAAACAACGAAGCAATAACTAATAAACTTTAACGTATTGTATAAAATAGAAACACGGAATTGTCTACGAATTGTCTACTGACTGTAAATATAATTGTAATTACAGTCAGAGATTATTTGTATGTTGTGCTAAATCGTCTTAAATTGATTTCCTTCAGTTATTTTATTGCTGCATTCATGCGTACACTCGTGCAATGCTAGAAAAATGTTTGTTTTCCCTCGCTGGAATGGGTAAGTATAACTAGTAAATATGCTTATATAACATATATTCTATAAGCATATATACTATTTACGTTTTAAAAAAAATCAGTGCATTCTTACACTATTAAGGTATTTTATATAAATTGAATATTTTCTTTAGATTTTTTTAGTATTAAAGCATTTATTCTCAATGAGTTTTTGAGTATATATAATTTTAAATCTCCTCTTTCAACTTTCCAACAAATTTCCTTTTTCTACGGCTTCTTCAACTTCTTTATCCAACTTTTTCATACCCACCTCTTTTGCGTTTTTTATTATTCGATGACTTTAATTGATGTTATATAGTGTAAAAATTAATTACAGGATATTGGGAGTATAAGATGTAATATAATATAAACAATATTAAGAATAACATAAACAAGGAATATATCTACATTTATTGAAAAATCTGTTTCTGACATAATTACAATTACTAAATATTATAAATAGTTATAATATCCTTGTCTCCAGGTCATCGTAGTCAGTCTGTTTCCAACGTATACAAATATATTTTATTTGATTCGAGGTTTTACCATTTATACTAATTAAATTTTTTAATAAATCTATTAAATTTTATAAACAAAATTTCTAAAATTCCAGTTATAAGTTATATAATATTAAAACTTTACCAACTTCAAAGAGATAACTTTCGTCATGTTATTTTACTTTTAACATCGGGTCATTGATATTTTAGTATTCACTAAAACATCTGTCTTTTGTAATGGGGCGTTTGTTGACGAATGGTTGCTAAGTAATTACGAAACGGAGGAAAATATAGGAAAATCAATGGGGCGGAATAAGAAAAGTAGCAGATATATTTTTGACTTGTGGCAATCTGACGGATTGTTACGGAGTGTTACATTAGCTGACGGTGCATTAAGACACTAACTTAAAGATCCTTAAATATAAGTTCCTATGGTTATAAATTCTTTCATATCAAGATTTTGATTTTATAACAAAATATTGTTTGTTTAGCTTCTAGCTTGAAAACTATTAAATTACCTCCACCTGAACCAGTTGAAAAAGTGTTTGTTCATCAACTTAATTTAACGTAAGTATTGATTTCTTGAATGCCTATTATAAACCGAAACTTGTTAGAATTAAGTTATTCTATAAATATTAAATAAGAAGTAAATATCAACTATTAAATTAACTAAAGTTTAAGAATTAAAAGTTTTGAATAATTTAATTTACATAAGATTTTTAGAATTTACGAAAATGAGTCAAAATGAAACATTAAAGATGAGAAAAAATGCATTGAATTAATTTTTTCTCGTATTATTGCCCAATTTTGTTTTTGTTTTTTTATGGACCGAACTGATCGGAAGTAAAATCAATCGCTATGTATTAGAAATGGGAGCTGATTTTTGAATCAAATTACCTATGAGAAGCCAATATGATTCTCATCACACAGTAGAATAATTTCTTACTGTGCTATTATCTGGTCAATGAAAAAAATATTCAAAAATATTGTTCGTGATTGTAATTCATTTGTTATCAATTATTGTTACGTATTATTATGGTCGGCATTCCACTTAGTACTGACTTCAAAGGTATTAGGTTATTAATATAAAATTACGAGCTTCTTTTGTGATACTTATAAAAGATCTATATTATATAATAAAGCTTTATAATATAATATAGATCTTTTATAAGTATCACAAAAGATCTATATTATATAATATAGATCTTTTGTGATACTTATAAAAGATCTATATTATATAATAAAGCTTTATAATTTCTTATTTTGAGAATAAAATGAAAACGCTGATAGTATTTGTTGTGGCAAGAAGTGTGACAACTTTCCTCAACGAGTATACGAATGGACAATGATGTTCCATTCCTACATATAGGCCTATATGAAGAATAAGATATTTTAGCATTCTCCAGTAATCTATTAGAACATTTTCTAATATTAATTAAAGTCTATAAGTAAAAGTTAAGAAATGTTCTGACCTTTCGAGAATCATTTCAAACCAACAATCCAAAGAAAATATGCGTTGCTCAGCTGAGTTCTACAAGACAATCTTCCATTCCATACTACACTGAGAGTTCGAACATCTAGGGAATGTTTTGAAAATTATTTTTCTCTGTAATTATTCGCTCGTATCTGTTCTAACAACTACACTTTTGAATCATTCAGTTATGTAATGAATAAAAATTAATTTATCCTCAACAATGTAAGACATTCTCTAGGCATTTTATCGATATTTTATTAAGAAATAGAATATTTGTAGATAAATTAATTGAACTGAATGTTAGAAGCTTGCTCTATGCAATTTAAGAAAATCATGAAAGAACTGAACTTTTTTAAAGTACTAATAAAGAAAAGTTTGGTTTATAACTGTTTTCATATTAATTTATATAATGATTGTTTAATCTAAATCTTTAATTTAATATATTTACTTCAAATAATTTCTTGATTTCTACATGCCAATTTGTATCAATTCTTATAGAAATTTACACATTCGAGAGTGTATATCCAATTATGAAGTCATGTTGTAGTGTAAATACTTGCCAAATAAATGTTTTTAAAAACATACGAATTAATTAGTGTGTTATAACATAATATAAATTTTATCGAGTTTTTGGATAAAAAAAAATAAAATTAAATTTTAATTAAAGATCATTTTGGATCCAAAAGACAGGACTTTGTAATAATTCGACAAATAAAAATCTTATGAATTGGGATAAACTCTCATTATCGATCATATTTTGAAATGAAATGCTGAATTTTTCATGCGATGAATTTAAATTAAAAGAATGAAAATATTTTTATTGTTCATTTTAATCTGAAAATGAAAATAATTAGAAAATGATATTAAATAATTTGATACTTAGGAAATGTTTAAAACTTTTTGAAGTTCTCATTTGACTCAATTTCGTGTTTTATAACTTGATCCATGATAAAATACATTTGTTTTAATAGTTCCGCAGATGTTCGTAAGAGAGAAAAAGAGAAAAAAATGGTGGAAGAGGAGAAAGAAAAATTGAAATCTCAGAAAGAAATTTTACAAAGACAGAAAGAAGAGGAGAAGAAACGAGTAAATTAATAATGAACTATTGTAAAACTTAATCANCCTCCGGAGTCGGGTCAAGCCCTCTCCCGGATGACGGTCTCGTAAATTGTCACCTAATGTCTATTTTTCGGTCCCGGAGAGGAGGAAGCCGTCTCAGCCACCGCCCCCTCCACAGGAGTGTCAGTAGGACCTGCTTTGAACTCGATGTAAGGTGACCGTCCAAAGTTTCCCCGACGGTCGATCCCTCGATCGTTCTCACGATTGACGACCGTGAATCTGTCAATTAGGGCTGGAATGCGACAATTAAATCGTCTCGCACCCCGTTCCTTGGTCACACCGGTCCTATTTACGTAATAAGTCACCGATATATTGACTTTAGCTCGACAGCCAGTTTCCGTCCGAGGGGGGTGTGTGGTCCCGGCCTCACATGAATATGAGCTTATTAGTTTATTAATTACATGTAAATTAAAACATACAAATCAGTGACATAAACAGTACAATACACTACACATTTCAGAAACAAAAATAAAATATTTTGTTACTCAAAAGGTTGAGACCCTAGCATTACATAACATTTCTGAAAACACCCCCATATTGTAATGATTATCTGCATATCCATAAACCCATATCTGTGTTATATAACCCCCCTTAATTTAGAACAAACATTTTTATTTAGCAACTGAACAGAAGACAAACTGTAGGTTTTTATCATCATAATTTTGATATTGGTAGTAAGACAAAATTTTAATAATAAATGTCAGTTTTTATTATTTGATTACACTTAAGATGGTACGAAGTTTAACTTATATAACATAATATAATACATTCGACCAAAAACAATTTTATATTGAGATTTACTCTAAATACATTCTATAGCCTGAGAACGATTCAGTCGTTCGCACATGATACTCGAACAGACTGCAGACACAGACGTGAATTCGAAAGTATCCTACATCCTTCCCTGGACTATCTTGAATATATATACAAATTTTCATAGAAATCGATTGAGCCGTTTTACGTGATACTCAAACAGACAGATAGACGTGGGTGGAATGTAGCCAAAAACGCATCACACCAGTTCTATTTTAAAATGCATTAATCGTTATTTCCTCCAAGTTTCCGGTCAATTCTCAAATACAGTGGCCGCTGGTGACGTCACTGTAACTCGGTTACGATTGTCCACAAGCACACTACACACTTTTTGTGTGTAGTGTGCTTGTTGAAAGGAAATTTGGCTTTTTGGTTTAATATTTTCGTTGTTTTTGTAACGCTTTGAACTTAGCTACTGTAAAATATTTTAATTATTGATACATAGTGTCGTATAGTTAGATGTATTTATAAGAAATACATTCATAATATAACATTGGTCATTAGGCGCTTCTAAAGATTATGAAGACGCTTACTTCACAAAATAGTGTCTTATCCGACATCATGTCTCTAATTGGTGGATCAAATCGCACCAGTAAGATCTAAGATACTTGATTGGTGAGAAATACTTTTTTATTGTTATTTTACGTTTATTCTGCAGTGAGCGATAACTGAAAGTATGAAGAATGGAGGTATAAAAATATGTATTATTCTATTATGAAATATTCTGTCTAACGATTATAAATGTACGAAAATTGACAGTTATTATTACTCAGAATATTACATAAAATAAATATTTAATGAGTAATACAAATTAATTATAGGAAAATTAATTTCCCTACGTACTTTAAATATGAGTGCGATTTTGGAACCTTTTGCGCGATTTAAGATTAGTCGCCGGAATGGTACCGTTTGCACAAATTTATATAAACACCAATTATATGAAGTGAAAATTTTAAAAAGAAATATAAATAGACCTATGTGGTAGAACAAATATGTTTCTAATCGATTATATAATTGAATTGACATCGTTATGCCATTTAAGGATTTTATATATACAGTACTTTTGTAAAAACTGATTTGGGCTACTCTCTTCTATACTAGAGATGGGCAATCCTCGGCACGCGTGTCAAATGTGGCAGGCCAATGACTTTTTCGGCACGCAACCGGGAACTCACTTTAAAAAATACATATCCAACATCTTCACCGAATTGTATATTTTAAATTAATATAGTACAATTTTATTGAGTAGAGCGATATAAAATAAAAATTAAAAAAAACACTATCAACTGTTAATAGGTAATAAGAAAATAAAACAAACATCCTATTTTCATCCGATCTGAGTGATATAATGACTTACAAGCAGGCTTACGGAAATTCTAGACTCTACTTGATCTAGGCTAGATGCTATGGGAAATTCTAGATTTTCCATAGCATCGTCTAAACGATAGAGATTAGCCTTTAGATCAAGTAGACTCAATAATATGGGGTACACGACAACTGGGCGATTTAGGATGGACAATGGTTAACTGGACGACAGAAACTTAACAATTTTTGCACGCTTAGCAAGCATACGATTTGGCGGATATTATTTATTTATTTATTTGTAATATATTGGTAAATATATATATAAATATAAATATGATTAAGACTTACGAAGTATGAGTTAAGAGTTATTTCTAATTTAGATAAATGGAATGTTTTGGAATTAGGCTTACGTACTGTTGCATCGTTAATGCATATTGCATATTGTATTGTATCATATTGTACGTCAGAAGCGGTTAACAATAGAAAAGAGTGGTGATTTTTATAAAGGAAAAAAAATTGTATTTTGTCTATTGTTTAGCTCTTATTTAGTCGCCTAGATGTCCGGCGCACAGTCAGCCCATTTGACGTTGTTCCATAATATTTTCTCAAAAATTTCGGTTGATTGTAGTTCCGTTACATGTAAAATTATTATAAATGAATGTAAACGTTAATATACCGCACATTTATAATGTCCCTGACAAACATCTCATTAAATATACCTACGTCCTATTAAAAATGCCATAATAAAACTTATTATTTATTTTCAAGGGGTCTTCTCACTTTCATAAAAATTAAACTACCCCATCCTTATAAGGGCTTAGTTTGATTTGATAGGATATAGCAACGATTGGCCGATCAGCCAAAAATTAATGCCTCCCGGGAGAACTTACTATGGAAAACTGGCTCTAATTAGTGTTGGACATGTGAGAAAAACCCGGAAAACTCCACGTGATCAGGTCGTTCGTGAATCACAAATTCACGGTCAACTATCTAAAATTAGATCATAAAAAATATTTCTTTTGTTGTTACATTTGAAAGTACGATTAAAAATGCTCATAACTTTTGAAATAATATTTTAAATAAAACTTTAATATTCTTTAACCGAAAACCCGAAACTAAAAAAGAGGCCTCCATTTAAAAGTTAATTGTTATCCTCTATAAGGAGGCGGGGAGTGATATAATGTTTATGAAATTGAAAAAAACCCCCTCGAAAATAAATAACTTATATTCTGATCACTTCTTATACTGTAATTCGACGCATATTTTATGAGATATTTGTCAGGGACATTTTAAATGAACCATTCTTTATAGTATGTTTACAAAGCCTTAAAAATTAATTATTAAGATTAACATTAAAATCAGTTCAAGGTAAAATGCCGAATGATCTCGAACATGCATTTCACGTTAGCGAAGACCGTTTTAAATTAATTTTTTTTAAAGTCATTTAATATTTAGATTAGATAGCGAAATGTTTGTGTAAATAAACAATATGCTTAGCAACAAAATATTGACTTTACATAATTTTTTATTTACAAGAAAAGAAAAAAATTATACCGTATAAGAATACAGAATTAGGTTACTATGAATATTTTGAAAAAATTTTCTAAAATTGAAAACATGACAAAACTAAAAAGATCCACCATAAGTTGCTTAACTTTCCTTGTAACATTTGGTGGCTCCATTTGTTATGATATTTAGTTTAAGAACTTTTTATATTTTTAACTATTATAAACTGGCTTCAAAGGTGCCAGTTTTAAACTGTATTTTAAAACTGGCTCCTTGGTGTACAGTATATTTCTGTGAATGATAAGCATCCAAAAGATGAACTTTTTAACGAATTTTCAAGGAATAGTAAATACTGTATTAAGCTAAAAATCTCATAAACTTCTCAATTTTTACAGTCAACGTTAATAAGTCGCAAATAATAGATTTAAGGACTATTGACAAATAAAACTACGATGATTGAATTATTTACTATGAAAATATAAAGCATAAATGCATTGTTATATTTAAACCCCATTACATTATCTGTTGACAGGATTATTGTACATAAGAGCAGACACAAAGATGGTGGACGTTCATAATAATAATTTAATACTTATAAATGAAAAGTTTGCAAATTAAAAAACTTGACATAAAAATTGTAAACATATCGTTATAATAATTTTAATATTTATACCAGAACATGCTTAAAATCGAATTCAATACATGGATTATCAAGGTTAAGATACTGAAAGTGTTTTTAGAACTATGGAAGTTTATATTATATGAATGTATACTAGCTTGCAGGTATTTTAAATAGTTTCTTTTAAATAATATCTTGTAGTTTTTCTTTTAAACCGTTTCTTTCTATTTTCATAATAAATATCTTTACAAACTACGGACGGTTATCTTCTACTTCATAATTCTATTTTGTACATGATACTTTGACCTTCCTAAATCGCATTTATAAATTTTCATCCCAAAAACAAAACTTTCGAGTTATCGTGTAATAGAACTTTTTGCCAGTTTTGATTTTGAATATATCAAAATCATTTGTAAACATTAATTTTAATTGTCTATTTTCTATTTAATCTACGGTTTTAAAGTTTTAAATACGGGTAAATTTTTTTTGCATTGTAACACATTTACTGTAAAAATCTAAACTTTTGTATGTTAAGAGATTTTTTTTATTCTCTGGTCACGTTACTCTCTCATAACAAGAGTGGGAGTGGGACAACCTTTTTATGGTAAAAACTATATAAAACTATATCAGGGATGGCGAACCTATGGCGTGCCCAAAGTGGCACGTAAGGAGAAATCATCTGGCACTTAACGTAACATATCATTTCGATTTATCATTGTCTTTTTCAATCATCCTTTAGGTTTACCACTCGATCATTTTTTTCAATCGGCTTTTTTACATTTATTGTAATTAAAGCATATTCGTTATTCAAACTCTAAAACTTTGGCACGCATTATATCTTTAAAGCTAAATATGCTTATTATATTGCACGTGAGCTCAAAAATATTCATCCCTGAACTATACATATTTTTATATCTCCATTCTTCATACTTTCTGTTATCGTTCACTGCAGAATAAACGTAAAATAACAATAAAAAAGTATTTATTACCAATTAAGTATCTCAGATCTTACTGATACGATTTGAGCAACCAATTAGAGACACGATTTCGGATAAGACACCATTTTGTAAAGTAAGCATCTTCATAATCTTTAAAAGAGCCTAATGACCAATGTTATATTATAAATATATGTAACTATACGGCAGTATGTAATTAAAATATTTTACATGAGCTAAGTTCAAAACGTTACAAAAACAACGAAAATATTAAACCAAAAAGCCGAATTTCTTTCAACAAGCAAACTACAGACAAAAATGGACAATCGTAACAGAATTACAGTAACATCATCAGCGACCAATGTATTTAAAAATTGACTCGAAAAATGGAGGAAATAACGATTAATGTAATTAATTTATCATTAATTGTCTACTCGGACACAACTTATTATTTTTAAACAAATGTTAAACCTGTATATTCTTAGTAATTTAATTTTTACTTGTTTTTATTTTTATTTAACACACAAAAAAATTGATATTATGCAATTTTGTGTTTAAATTTCTTCGAAATATAATTTCGTTGTACATTGTATTCGGATGCAAATTTACTGTAAGCTTTTTTTTAAAAGTTTAATTGTCAGGTAATTTTAGTATTTTATTTATTTGCTTGTTATATTTTAGAATATCGTAGTAATACTGCTGATGAGGGGCATGTTAGCCCGAAACAAGTGTAATATGTGTACAGGAAAAATTACTACAGATGTAATAATAAAGAAATTTTGTTTTTTCTGATTCAGATCTCGTCTTTGTGTTAACGATTAATGTATTTTAAAATAGAACTGGTACGATTTGTGAGGTGGTGCGTTTTTGGATACTTTCCCTAATTTAAATTTTCGTTGCATATAAAAAAAATACTATCAGTATATAATAGAACATTCTTTGTCGGTATTATCATAAATAGTTCCATTTTTTTTACATGAAATTTTTAATCTTATATTTATTTACAATTCGTTTCAAAAAAGCCCTTCATTAAAGAATGATCCGTTGCCCTGTGATTCTTCATATCTCAAGTTAATTTTCTGCAATCGTAATCTAGTCTTTTTGCAATATTTGACAGTTCGTTTCGTATTCAAAATAATGCTGAAGTCATAACTTCATTATTTAGAAATTAATACTTCTATGAAAAGACATTGTTCAGATGTACTGTACAGTACATATTTATATTTCATAATCAAATTTATGACAGTTTTATTTTTATGTATTTATGCAGTTCTTTCAAAATTATTATGGCGACAGGAAATGTTATTTCTTGTTTATCTTCTTAAATATACTCATTACCTAGTATTTTATCTACATCATTCAAATATTTTTAAATCCAGTTTTTATTAGAGAAGAGTCTCTTGCTTCATTTCACTGGCAATTTTTCTATTTGCTCTTACAATCGATGGAAATAATTACAACAATTGATTGATTAGAATATACGAGGAACCAGCACATGATAGGATTGATAGGATCGATCACAGTTTCCTTCGTTGAAGACAAGCCTAATCCTTAATAGAACCCGAAATGCATTTCCGAATACAATAATAAAGTCTACATATTCAATTAATGTATCCTTGTGTGATTGAAGTTACTGAAAAAAGCCAAAATTTAGGCTTAGTAAATCAAAACAAAACTTTCATTACATCTTAAAAGTTTTGAATTTTTAATAATATTCTTTTAAACGTATATCTACAATATTCTAACACCTTTTAAACAGTTTTGCATACTTTTATACGAGGTAAAAGATTGACTCTGTTAATGTTTAGTTGTATTTTTCCTGGCGTGTGAAAAAGATAATCCGAAAAGACACCAAAAATAATTTTTTATGTGTGTTTTGTCTTCAAATTTTTATATTCTTTAAATAAATATTCGTTAATTAAAAATTTTTCAAAACCAAAATCTAATTTATGTATTTTTAGGATGATCCAAAGAGAAAAAAGAATTTTATGGAAACAGAAGTACCTGAAACAGAGGTAATTATTAATAAACTATTTAAACATCAAATTTACAATGCAGCTATTTAAATTGATATTTTACATTACCTCATATTTATATATAGACTTTAATTAAAAATAAAAATGTTTAATATATAAACAAACGACAAAATTTGCATGAAATCTTTTATTATGTAACTTAACTAACGATAAAATTAAGCTTACTATGCAAAATGATAATTAGAGAAAGGTCTATGTTTATTATTTATTCAACAAATGCAAAGAAATGAGTTTGTATTAATTTGTGATAGTAGTTTGTCAGATATTTATTTTCTGGAAAAAGTATTATTGAAAATCATAAAAGGGTTTCTTGTAACTTGATTTTCTTTTTAATTAAGCTCTTGCATATTCGAAAGAACTGATGTTTATGTACTGTACTGTAAAGTACACTTCGAAATATGACGAAGATAGAAGTCTACTGATTATTTTTATATTTACTTTCTATACTTTCTTAAGTTGATTGGTTGAATAATTTAATAAGAGACATTAATTCAGTATAGGCTACTCGAGTAAATGGTAAAAATTATACTCATTCGCATTGTTGTTAACGAGTTACGAATGTATGCTCATATTCCCCCGGTCTACCCTATCAACTCATTCATTATGAATGGTCTCACTGAACGAGTCCTACCATGTACAGTACTATTCTCACTCAACACGTTCGTGTTGCTGTTCTAATGAAATAAAATTTATTAAATATTTTATAGGATTCTATTTTAAAATTCGGCCAACCGGGTGCCGGTGCACCTAATCGTACTAAATCTGGAAGATTGAAAACACAAATAGCGGGTGATGTGGATATTCGTTTTCAGCCTGCTCAAGCAGTTAAATTAAGTATAGAAAATCAATTAAGATACAAGAATACAGATAAAGAAAATTACAGAAGTGAACTAGGTAAGTAGTTATTTTAGTGAATACATTTTGCATTAATTAATCCATGATATCAAATATTAATATAAAAATTCATCACTTACAGACAATTTAATTCAGTCTAAACAATCTATTAAAGAACAAGAAATAGAATGGAATAAACAGAAGCAAGAAGAAATGGTAAGACATTAAAATATTTTAAATAAACATTATTTTGTTGTAATAATTAGGCTTATAGTATAATTAATTTAACTAAATTATAATTAATAAAAAATTTTCATACGTAATAAAATATTGTGATAACTGAATATAAAAATTTCATATATGTCTAAGTTACTTAGAGTTTTTGTGCAAAAGTAATAGGCCCATTGCTTTTTATAACTTAAATGGTAAGTCACCAAATACAATAGGATTGGATTTGATTGATGGAAGAACGCAAGGCAACACTTGGGAAGTCTGCCAAATGACAGACTTTCCAAGTGTTGCCTTGTTAAAACTGCTGACAAAACTACTGAACACTGGTAGTTGGTCACGTGTTCATTCCTGACCGTCGGGCTGGCTACTTGAAGATTTCCGGGTTTTTCCCAGATGTCTAACACTTGACTAGAGGCCAGTTTCCTGCAGAAATTCCTCCGGGATGGCATATCGCCTTCGTGTTGTGTTGCCCTATTCCATACAATAACAACTTATTTAATTGAAATAATTTTTAATAATTATTAACAAGAATTTACAACAATATTTTTTCGTAAACATTCAGAGACGCTGAACATTTTTCACCTTTTTAAAAATTAAACTATACACTGAAAGATCACTACATTAAAAATACCTGCTAGTAACGAATCAGTCCACGTTTCTCGGTGATTGCGCTTCGCAAACACCGGTGATAGACTCTATAAGAGGTCGAACATCCTCTATTCCTAACTGGACCCACGCTGCTTGACCAGTTTTGTCGATTGATGCACATTTCGCGGAGGAGTGGGTGAACCTCGTCCAACGTTCCAGCATATCCCAATCGTGTTCAATAAGGTTGCCTTGACCCCTAAACTTACCAGACTGCAGTCTGGTAAGTTTAGGGGTCAAGGCAATGTATGAAGTTTATTGTTATGTTCCTCCAACCATTCTCTCCTGATGATGTGTGCGTTATCATGTCGAAAGATGGCATATTTGTTAGGAAACATAGCCTGGAGATACAAGTACGGATGATCACCTAACAGGTCCCCGTATCATTCAGCATTCAAGGATTGGGGGATGACGAGCAATAGCCCAGGCCTTGCCAGAGAACATTTCCCAGACCATGATACCACCACCATCAGCTTGTTTGAACCCCAATTATGCAACCAGGGGATGCAACTTCATGCCGTTTACGCCAGATTTGGACTCGGCCATTAATATGGTTCAGCATGAAACAGGATTCGTCACTCCAGATGATATTCTTCCATATGTCCAAGATCCAATGACCACTTTCCTTCGCGCATGCAAGGTGATGTCTCTTTACCACTTTAGAGATAGTGTTTTTAATGAAGTGATCATTCAGTGTAATTTACTATACAATAAGTGCGCTGTGATTGTGGATTATTGTTTCGAATGATAAAATGGATGTTGTGGATGCATAAAAAATATCTATTGTATATATTTGGTACAAATGGTGAATTCTTCCAACATTTCTTTCGCAGCTCTTTTATTTTTGTGGACCGAATAATATATACATTGCGTCATTTAAGTAAATATCTTAACTTGAATATAATTAGAAGAAAGAAATACGTAGAAGACCCGGAATCGGATAATTACTGCACAAATATGGGATTCCCAATGCACAATTCAAAATTCCCGCTATACGTCTTGTGTCCACTTGCACATTACAATATGCAGTGTTTAATATATGCTATTTAATTAATTCTGTTACTGACATGTACTGATTTTAATAAAATACTCTAATACCTCGATTAGCGCTCTTGATACACTCACTATACGAGATCAATGAACAAACGAGATAGCGCTAATCGAAGTGTTGGTGTATACTGTTTTTTAAATTGTTTCTTAAGAGGTGGATATAAAATTTAATTTATAACCTAGTATAATAATATAAATTTGAATTACTAGGAGAAATTTTACCCGTTTGGAAGATCAAAGGAAAACGGTGGGTCACCATTACAGAAGTCAGGTATTGTACGGTTTTTCATTTCTATGCGTGGAAATCCGATGTGTCATCTGTTTGCCTTCCAAAATTCCCAAATTTGTGATATTNAAATTTGAATTACTAGGAGAAATTTTACCCGTTTGGAAGATCAAAGGAAAACGGTGGGTCACCATTACAGAAGTCAGGTATTGTACGGTTTTTCATTTCTATGCGTGGAAATCCGATGTGTCATCTGTTTGCCTTCCAAAATTCCCAAATTTCTGATATTGTAGATAATGTAGTAGCGTATAAAAAGAGTTAAACATTTATAATAATAAGTCCGTTATAATAGCATCCGTGCTGTCCTTATTTAGCCTTGAAAAACTAATAAAATTAAATAGTACGTTAAGTTAAATTAATTATTTTATCTTCTTTTTACACACAGCTAATATTTACAGTATATTAAACAACTCAAACATATTCAAAAGTATTGATTTGAATCAATTAATTTAATTTCTCAATAAGAAGCATTAAAAATCTGAAAAATGATTAGAAATTATACAAAATATATTTTATTCTTAATTAATTTTGATATTTTACATTCTTGTTAGACTAGATTGCCTGAAAGTATGATATATTTCAGATTTCATATATTATTTCAAATTAATACTAAATTTTTGGGTGTAAATGCTTGTTTCATTCACTTTTCCATTTAATCAGACGTGATTAAATTGTTTCTTTTTTTTTTATAGATATTTGATTGATGATATTCTTTGAATATTATTCAAGGTTATTCAGAATTTATGATAAGCTCTACGCTGTAACACATATAGAAATCAAAATGTTTAATTTTAAGTAATATTTGCTTATTTTATTTTTAAACCCTGTTTTATCTCCATACAAATGATGAAATTTTTTATATAAAATGCATGTATAGTTGATGATTGTAGAAATTGCTATATAGTTTCTAAAAGAAAAGAACATATACAAAATTCGACTCTGAAAATTGGGTACTATAATTATTCATTCATGATTTTTAATAATTATAAATTAATATTATATATATATATGCACTATTTTTAGAAAATTATTTGAATTCTTCTGGATTGTGAGCATTGATTTATTTTATTTTTTATAGATCCAATATTTCTACCTACAAATCCCTTTCAGAAAAATGAACAGACAAACGATGTGTGTATTGCTCATTCCTTTATTTTAATTGTGAATTATTATTTTTAATATATCGGAATAATATAAAATTTTCAGCCTTTTAATCCATGGGGAAAAGGCTTTGGAAATCCCGAGCGTGATGGAAAAGGCAACGTATTACGACATTCAACAGTTCGTTCCAAAGATGTGGGAATACCAGATCCTCCTCCTCCTCCCGAAGATCTGGTATGGTTTTATTGTATTCTTATATAGATATTATATAAAATCTTTTAACAAATTCAATACAAAGTGTTATATTATTGCCTAACAGCAAGTTTTCAAGTATTAGATGTTTGCTGGCTCACTAAAGAATAAAGATTTTCTTTCATCCTAATGATTCAATAAAATCTAAAATCTTGTTTTATCGTATTCGAATTTTAAGAAAGATTAAGTTTATAAGCTGATTAGATTCATTAATAAATAAAAATTCCATTTGATCTTATAAATCGATAAATTAAATTTAATATTAATCTTTGTGTGTGTATACGGTTTATTTCATTAGTTTAAATCTATTTATTAGGGTTTAGTTCTTCCTATTTCGGAAAATAAAGGTGGAAATGGTTATCCACATCGAACGAAAAGTGGAAACATCAAAACTAGGCTAAAGAATACTTTAGATAGGGCCGATCAATCTGGTAATTACTTATATTATGTTACTTATGTTAGAAAAATTCACATGTAAAGGATATTTTTATATATTTATTTAATTTATAGATGATATTCTGTAAAAACACAACAAAAAGCCTTGAAATTTTATTTTTTAAAAATTAATTTATTGATTAAATTTAAACAAAAAGATATGAAAATTAATGCTAGTTAATTATCCTTAATCAAGCTAATTTATATTATTTATTTTTAGTTCAATTTTTATAATTAATTAATTAAATTAAATTAAGTGTATTTAATATGAACTGTATCAATATGAATTCGTATCTTATTTATTAATAATTTTGTTGAGCTTTTCGATTACGACTCAACAGTTATATGAAAATTTTAACAAAGTTACATTGTTTCTTAATTATCAATAATTTCAATTCTAACGGAGTAAAAATAAATTTTTAAAAATATAATCGTATCTCGTTTCCTACAAATGTTAAGCACAATTATTAACATATAAAGCCCATACTCACTGCAATATATTTTTTAAACAGTTGCAAAATTATTTGAAAAAAATAATCTGATCATTTAGGTAATGTTATATCAGAAAACATAGAAGGTAATGGGGAAACTTATAATCCATTTGGGAAACCAGGAGCAGGAGCACCTTTCTCTCGAGAAGCTGGGAAAAATTTTATGGAAAAAATGGTAAATTTTTTAAGTTTAAATTTAATTGAATCTTCTACACAATGAATCATTTGAATATAATATATCTATTATAATTTCTATTTTATTATCAAATAATTTATTACTAAGTGATTTTTGTAATTATTGAATTTGAAACAATTTGTCATAAAATAATAATTTTGTCAAATTTTATTGCAGGGTTGGACATCATCAGATCCTAAAGACTTTAATAAAAAAGATGCAAAGTTAGAATATTTAAATACGTTACGTAAGTTTCATTCATTTATATTCTTAGTTATTAGATTTTCAAAAATTATTGATTAATTTGTCATTATTTAACTATTGCGTTATGTTTTTTTTGTTTTGAGTCAAGCTAATGCGTCAAAAGTCTCCCAAACACAACTAAAATATATTATATAAATTAAATAAAAATTTTTATGCAAATTATTATTTAATGTTTGTTATTGTTTTCATTTAATTATTTGAATATTAGAACTGTTTTTAAACCAATCAAAAATTTTACATTTAAGAGATTCTATTGTTTTTCAAACGGTAGAATCTTCAGGATGTCATAACTTTAATATGAATACAAATGTAATTTCTATAAATATTGAAGAAAACATTGTACAGTATAACATTTTTCCATCCATGAAAAATTGGTCCGAAAAGTCGCTTTTCGTTTAATATGATTTTCAGGTTTCGATAGATCTAAGCAGAATTACCGTATATGGTGTTACTCAAATGCCTAATTTTGAGACAGTAATACATATATTATACAATCACTGCAGAAGAGGTAGTAAGGCCATACTTTTTTTCAGAATTCTACATTTGGGTCGTGACTTCTTGCACATGGTTTGTTGTTTAGTTATGGTAACACAACACTTGAGCGATCTGCCTAGGGAGATGCCTTCCGGGAAGTCTTTTTAAGGGAAACTGGCCCATATTCAGGCATTACAGACGCAGAGAAAACCCGGAAAACTCCATGTAGCCAGCCTGTCCGAGCGAGGCGCGAACCCACGACCGAATTCCCAGTGTTCAGGGAACGAAGACCGCTTGGTCACTGGTGGGCCCATCTTGCACATGGTGGAGAACTTCACAGAAGACAATCATTCACGATAAATCCGTCATAACAAGTTATTTCCATATTAGTGTTATGACGGTGTGTTAACGTTTTTGGAAGCATATTGTGCCTCAAAAATACGAATTTTTCCTAAATAATCCTTGGTAAATTATAGATGCGTTTTGTATATTGGTAAATACGTAAGTCATCTACGTATATTATAGAAATATACATATATTTATTTTAATAAAGATTTATCCTATGATAATTAAAAATAATCGGAAAACATGATCAAGAAATGTAGGTTGTAATGAAAGGAAAATTTCGACAGTAAAAAAGAAATTGAATTAACATAATTTATAATATGTTTCCAAGTTGATGATATCATGAAGTACTCAACAAAAAATCTACCAACGAGTTATGTAACTTTCCTAGTGAAAAACACTTATAAGACATACTAACACAAAATTGAAATTGTTTGTTGCACATATGTTGTGAGATTTTGTTAAAAATAACTTTTATATTATTAACTTTTATAAAATGGAAAAAAAAAACTTAATTTTTGGGGTAGATATGAATTTTATGAAAAAACAAAATTGTAAACGCCAATAACCAGTAAAATCTTCATTAAGTCAGATGCCACTCAAGATCCTATTTATGCACACGTGCACCCTATTTATCTCCCTATACTCCCTAACTTTTGACAAAAAGAAAAATAAAAACTTGGTGGATATGTATTTTATGCTCTGTAATTAATTAATTTGTTATTTTATTGTGTTTTTTACTATTATATTATTTTCAGAAATAATCTCTTGAATGATCTTTTAATAAATACCTTTCGATTAAGTAGATGTGACATTCATTATATACGAACAATTCACTCAATTTGTAGTTTAAATAAGCATTTTTTGCTTATTTAAACTACAAAAATTTGTTTTAATAAGAAAATAGGAATTTAACAAAATAAGTAAGTTTAAATTCAATAATATATTTCCAGAAAAGGAAATTGAAGAAAAGAAAAATCGAGATAAACAAGAAAGAATTCAAATAAGAGAGCCCGTAAGTTCTAATCGTGTTATTAAGATAATTTTTTTAACAAAAATTCTATAAGATAATTGAAAATGTTCTAAATATATTTCACAGACAACAGAATTTGTTGATGTTTTAAAAACTAAGGAAGTGGGCAAACCAAAGAAAGACCCTATCACTGGGGAAATGAAACGTAATCCAAGAATAGTGTCGGATGTAACATCTCATGTAACAGAATTTCTTTGCTTCTTAGAATATTTCAGAATTAGTTTCTTAAAATATAATCACATACAATAATTTCGAGCTAACTCTAATACGTTCTTATTTCCTGTGTAAAAAGAAATTGTTTCTTATACATGCATAAGCTATGGATAAAAATTTGATCGCTAAACTTGATTTTTAAATTAATTTGATTTTAAACAAGAGAAGATAGTTTCGGTTTAAAAGCGAAATTATATTAAGAATGATTTTTAGTTTGCAAAGTATAATTGTAGTTGGCAAAACAGATTTGCAGATGCATAAACACTAGTGTGACTCTTTAGGTAAATCCAATCCATATTGTTGAAAATAATCAATATTTATAAATTACAAAGTATAATCAATATTTATTCTTTTGTATAATTAACTTTATAAATTGCTATATATTTTTATTTAAAGAAACTTGATATAAGGCGTGCCAAAACTGAAGAGAGTTCGGACTATAATAATTTCCTCAAACAACAAACAGAAGAAAAACAAAAGATGCTGCAACAAGCAAAAACTAAAGAACAAGAAGAAATAATGCAGGTATTTAAAATATATATAAACTGATAATTAAATTTATAAAAAATTTTTAAAGAAGCAGTTTAAAATAATTGAACTATCACATGGGTTCGACTGATTTTATATATTTAGCTTTTCAGTTAAGTTTACTACAAATATTACATGAATAATTATAAATTTAAAATGATGTATCTATTTTCATACTTCAAAACAATTGCCATGTTTAATTACAAGTATTCCAGCGTAATACTTATAAGACGATTTGGTGTATAAGTCAAGAATTCCACTTAAAATTCCGCTTGTTTCTTCCCTAACATATGATATTGCTAATTAGCTAGAGCTGAAATGTTGATATCAACTGTGGGAAAAAATATAATACCACCCACATTAAAATACTAATTACAATAATGACCTTAACTTTGTCAGATTAAAGTTATAATAAAGGCTTTTTAATACGATTTGGTGCCTCGCCGTTGTGTCCCCTCTCTTCGATATAATAAGTCCTACTTAAAAACTCCAAGTAGACAAGTTATACTCAACTGTAGCAGATCTTTGCTTACGTTCCGTCGTCAACATCAGTGATGTATTGTACAGTACATTTGGTACACGAACTGTTGGAAACAGTGTGCAGTATTACACTGCACACTGTTTCCAACAGTTCACTTGTGCAAAATTTTTATTATATTAATATCTATATTAAATAAATTCATCAAAATACTAGTTTTGGTTGGAAATATTTGTGGAAGCCTGCACAGCGATTGTTAGAAATACTGTTTTAAAAATGATTTCTGAGATAACATTTGATATCAAAGATAAGTTTTAAAAAATCAATGCTGTTTAGAAATTTATTAATCGATGTTTATTAAAATAAATTTTAAAAAGTAACATAGATTTTAAAATAATAAACACAGGTAAACCAAGAGTTCTATTTCTGGATTGAGATCGTAAGTCGAATTGGTGGTAAGTAGAGCATAAAAAAATAATAGGAATAAAATAGTAGGATATTAAAACCGCCTGTAAACTGATATAGGGCTTAATATCGCTTATATGTATTTGTATTGTAATCAGGAAATAATTAATACGGCTAGTAAGCCGTATTAATTATTTCCTGATTACAATACAAATACATATAACGTGTTCAGTTACTATTGATAACATAAAGATAATATTTTAATTAATTAATTATGGTATTTTTTTTATAAACACAAAGATGAACAGAACCACGTTCAAAAACATCATAAATCGTACTGAGTGGTATTGCAGTCCTTGTGTAAAATTAATTTTATTTTTATTGTCTAATTATATTATTAATTCAATCGAACAATCTTATAAAATTTAAATTAGAGAATGATCTCAGGCTACTATAAAAAGCTGATAACTTTTGCAAGCTATTTACTATAATATAATGATGTATTTAAAAACCCAAAATTCATTACCAATGAACATTTTTAGCATCAAGACAAATGGAACAGTTTTTGGGGAAAACCTGGAAATGGTGCTCCATTACAACAACACAAAAAAGAAAATCTATCTTCACTTTTACATAATCCACAAGGAACGGTAGGTAATGTTATTTAATGGAACGATATACTATAGCCTATTACACATGCCTAAAACGTAAGAAAATATTTTGGTATAATTATTCAAATGTTTAAATAATTTCCATTATATCTATATATCTTATAACGAGATACTCAATAATGTAGTGACATACTGATAAAATTATTTCTCATCTTTTTATAAAATTAAACAGCTTAATCAAAGATCCTATTTCTTATAAATTACAGTGAATTTAATATGTGCTCTCGCTTATATAGAATTATATAATTTTATAATTTTTAATCATATAAACTTTTTAAAATTATTTTTAGTAGTATCAAAAATAAACCAATCTTTTGACACAGGTCTTATTATAAAAAGAAAACTTTTACACTACACCAGCTTTAAAGTAAGCTCCTTCTTCACCTCCCACTTATGTCAACGTCTATAGCCTACCACTTGTCAAAATAGTCCTAGAAACCATTTTTCAGTAATATCTTAATGGATTTCGTAGCTGTTTATTGGAATTCGTATTCCATCAATTTCTCTTTTATTTTAAGGAACAAAATCAAGGACGTAAGGAGATCGGAAAACACTATTATGCCTCTTTTTGATCATTTAGATATTTGATGATCAGATGGAAGACAGCGACTGGAGTCCTTGAAGATATCCATATCATTTTCAGGACTTCTTTGAAAATGGTGTAGATGATAGCAGATTTATATAGCTTTGAAGGAGTTTTAAAGGTTGTCTCCTGTAAATACTTGTACTATTAACGTCACAAAATCAAAAAGTTTGGTTTATTTTTGACTCTATTGCATATTTTAAGACCATTCAAGAAATTTTTAATTCCTGTAAAAATTTCTAAAGTGAAATAACTAAAATTTCACTAACGTTTTATGCATATTGTATTTGATATCAAATAAATATCAATTATTACAATAGATAGAATATAACAACATTAATAAGAATTTAATAATATATATTCACAATATTTTTTTATTTCAATTAAGATATACAATATCCACTGAAATGAAATATATTTTATAGACCGAACCGTATGTAAAGCGGTACACAATGGAAGTTGTGCCGAGTAAACACAAGAATTTTTATGAATTGTCTACCAAGGATGCGAATAACGTCATCAAAGTATAACTTATTCATTCTTATTTTATAATTTGAAATAATTTAGAAAGTTTTAGTAATTAATTTTGTATAATATTTGCAAAAACTTAATGCATAATTGTAATGTTATCTATCGTATCTGTTAAAAAAATATATTTTAAAGTTTTTTGAATATTTTTTAAATCTTAAACCAGAATTGAACAGTTCTAACAGTTGATATAGTATAATATAATAAAACGTTTTATATGCATTTTGTTATACTGATCTGCACGAAGTATAAATTATACTGTATTACTCGTTTATTGTAGAAGATAATCTTATAATATAATCGAGATGGGTTGATAATAATAATAAGAATAACAAGCGCAGAGCCAAAACGGTTAGGAGTTGAAAGTTGAAATTTGGTACACTGTTAGCGTACGTCACGAGAGTGTACTCTAAGAAGGGATTTTTCGAAATTTCCCCCGCGGGGGAGAGGGGGGATGCTAATCCTGAAGAACTCGGCTTCTACTGTACTATTTCAGATGCAATTTTTTTTTATTTTTAACTGCGTTTTAGTAGGGTATGCCATGCAGTGCCGGCCCGAGTCAAGTTTTAGGATGGAGGGAGATCCTATTATGGCGCTCCCTTGGTTGCCCCTAATTTATACCCTTTAATTTTCTTTACCACTGAGGTGCCCCCTAGGACTTAGCTCCTGGAGCGGCTGCTCCGTTCGCCCTATGGTAGGGCCTACTCTGATGCCATGAAATGCACATTAAGAAGGGATTTTCGGAAATTCAACTCTCCGAGGGAAAAGGAGGAGAGAGTTAGTTTTAGTCAATATAAAGTGTAAATAATAAAGAAGGAAAGTATCATCAAGTAAGTTAATTCTCCATTATAATGAGAATTAACTTACTTGTCTGAGCAACTCAGGGCTCATCTGATAGTATAGATATAGTTGTCAATTATTATACAGTATTACTCCCAGTTTGGAAATTTTTCCAATGTCAGTACGCTCTTTAAAAATAGATTCATTATACAGCCTAATTTGTTTATATTTAAACAATTTAAAATATATTTTATATGAATAAAATTTTATTCACGACTTATGGTAAAACATTTTATAAAATGTTGTCTCTTAAGGCTGCAACTATAGGAGCTATGATAATCTTTATTTTTTTTTACAGATAAAGCATGTCACTAAATAAGGGGGGATGAATTTAAGTTATTTTGATGTTGGGGACCCGCAGTCAGAAAAGTTACCGAAGAATTTTACAAGCTGAATCTAGATCACTGTATGTGAGTAGTAGGAAATCTGGATGCAACCTGTTTGAATTCTGGTAACTTCACGCTGACTGTGAGTTCTCATCATAAAAAAATCACTTGAATTCGTTCATCCTTATCAGCGCCATCCTTATTAGCATCTGTAAAAAAAACAAAGATCGACGTAACTCCTATGATTTCAGAGTTTCGGGACACCCCATATATTAATATATATAACATAATTAAAAATCAGGATTGATATCTATATAGGATGGCACGGAAGTAATAGGGCAGTTAAATCTTTCGCATTTTATCAGAAAAATTCCATTAGCAGAACCTAATGAAAGTTTTACTTGTTTTGCTGCTGGAATTTTATATATCGATGATCTACAGCAGGGGTCTCCAAATATTTTTTAATGTCGATCCTCTTCAAGTATTTTTTGATCTTTTATCGACATCCTATTCGTTTCAGCTAATACAGTTAATAAATTAATAAATCTGGTGAGCCAGTATTATCCATAGATAATTTGCACATTAGGCAGATCGTTTTGTATGAATTATTGCGGTTCTCCATATTTCCAATCTTTCACTAATTAAAGATTTATAAGTCTAAATAATAATGTAGTATTAAAACTGTCCTATTATTTCTGAACCATTTTATGTATTGATATATAGAAATTAAAGTAGCAGAATTATTTCTTTCAAAACATAATAAATCATATACTGTATTATAAAACAAAATATTTTATAAACGTAATTATATATAAACATCTTCAAAAATATTTGTAGTAATTAATGCTTTTCTTTTCTAATTTTAGAAAGAGTATGAATTTAAAACTCCTTGGCCAGCGATGACTTAAGTTGTCTTCTACTGCACTCCTCGTGTTTAATGAAAAACTTGGATGCTTTTCTCATCTTGTTTGCAGATAAGATGAAAATTAAGCATTTGAATTACACTTGATGTGCCTTATATGTTAATTTTTTATTCATTTATTTTTATTAATTCAATAAGAACTATATGATGTCTATGTAAATAAAATTGATTTATTATTATTTTAAATTAATATTTTTTGTTTGTTCTTACCAAATATCAATTATTATTGCCAATAAAACATTAAAATTCACATTCTGTCTTCAAAAATTTCAAATAGATTCGATAAGTCATTTTTTTCGGAAATAAATATTTCTTAAATTTTAATTCGTTTTTATATTTCTTACATTTTTGAAGAATTAGAATTAAAACTTAAATATTTTACCGAAATTAAGGCTCATTTCAGCTTCAAGCACATGAGGAAATGTATGTCTGAATATGTAAAACTTTAAAATTTTCCTCTAGCGACAGCACATTTAAAAAATAATAAATACATTTGATAAAAATTGCCAGGACAAATAGGATTAATCTTACAAAATTTAAGAAAATTCTTAATATAGGCAATACATAAAAGTATATTGTCTATATTACAATACATAAAAGGCAGACGAGTAACCTCAAATGAAAGGTCGACTCTGCCTGAAACTGTTAATTTCCTTGTGCGTGAAAAAGGACATTGTTAGAAGACAATTCTATGTATTATCTAAATTAAACATTTTCTTAAATTTTGTAAGATTAAACTTATTTGTTTTGGCAATTTTTTATCAAATCTAAAAATTTCATTCTGAGAATACTTGAAGACTTTTGAAATATCTGTTATTTCACAGGGAAATTTGAAGTTTGACTGCTTTCACGCATATAAAATTAAAACATGTTAAAAGAAAGTAGTCAAAAATATTGTTACGAGGTATAAGCTCTTTTTTACTCCTTATCGCTTTAGTCAATTAGAATTGTATAATTTTTATGTATTCGTCTAGACGTAGAAGTGACCGGTTGAATTTAGATAATTCTGTCAGTGTTTAATTCTCTAAGATGCAAACAAACCCATAACGCGCATTCATCTCGTTTAAAAAATCCCGGCGAAACTTGGCCGGAAAAGTTGTTTAACTTTCCCGGCGAAAAAACACTAAGATATACAGTATTAGCACAAAATTAAAATTGTGAAGTCATCTGTTATGAGATTTTATTAAAAATAACTTTTATATTATTATTAATTGGAGGCGATGTCTAGCGGTCGTAGCTGTTAGCGTGAATTTTTTTGCTCGCTTGCGATTTGATGTCAGACTGCGCTAGGTGTCAGCTCGGCGAGCTTGGAAGCTAGCAAAAAGTAAACGCATCCCTTGTTGGCCCACCAGTGTCCGAGCGGTCTTCGTCCCCGCACTTGAGTGGCCTGGACCCTGAACAATGGGAGTTCGGTCGTGGGTTCGCGCCTCTCTCGGACGGGATGGCAGCATGGAGTTTTCCAGGTTTTCTCCATGTCGATAGAACGATTAGATAGAATGCAGGCATGGGACCAGTTTTGGACTGTTAGTTATATTTCTGCGCCGCCATAAAATAGAAGTTGCAAATTAAAATGAAATTTTTTTATTTAGTATATAAATACATTACATACGTATGTGTTTATAAAAATTTAATTGAATATCAATATTTAAATTAATAACGTTGGTGTGCATCTCTTTATTTAAATTGGGCTGCAATTTGAAAAAATTGTAACCTATAAATTTCCACTGTCGTCCAAGAGCGTACCTAGGTGGCCCACGGTGGCCGAGTGGACTCCGTCTCCGCTTAATGGTGGTGACCAGACCCTAAACGCCGAAGTTCGATCGGGAGGGTTCGCGCCTCACTCGGACCAACTGGCAGCAGGAGTTTTTCCGATGCCTGATTAGGGGCCAGCTTACCCTCCAAGTCCTTCCCGGAAGGCATTCTATCTCCCTTTCTCGCGGGGGGGGGTCGTCTCCTATAAGGCCGGCTTTAGTCACTTAGTGACCTCTCTCCTGTCTTTTTCGGATTGGTCGTCTTCTATAAGACCGCCTCTTCGGTCGCTGTGCGACCATCCCCACTATTTCTTCCGGAATGAAAAGCGACAAGCTGCAGCACTCCTCTATGGTCAATGAAATGAGAGCGTACCTAGGGAGGTGGCAGCTGCCCCTCCCTAGAAGAAAAATTAAATTCTAGTATTTAATAAAACACTTAACACCTTATAACGCTGAGAAATATTTATTAAAACACAAACGTTTTCAGCCTAATGGAATAGGCCATCATCAGGTGACAGGCAATCGAACAACTTTTGAAAATTCTGTTAAATGGAACTTTCGAACCTTACAAATTCAAAATTAACCAATCAATATACAAAATAACTATAATAAATAGATTGAAGCCATATTAATATAAATAATAAAATAAGGAGATATAAAAATAAAAACAAAACAAAAATAAATCAACCTAAAAGATTAAATGCACAAAAAGGATTAAATTCATAAAAATATATACATCAAAAAGGGCAGATAGGAATTAAAAATTTTGTGTATTTTAACTTTTCTTTTACAAGGAACTTCCACGCCGAAGGATTTTTACTTGATATTCTGGTTCATAACATGACAAATATCAAAATGTAGTTTTTATCGTAAATATTTTCACAAGTGGAAACCAAAGCTTTCACAAACAAACGATAACTACGAGCAATTGTTTATTGTGACATGGTCACAATGCAAGGCTGCAATTCTTAATCATATTAGGGTCAGTCAAATGAAAACAAGACAGATGAATAAAAAGTAAGTAAACTGTTCATTATTTCAAAAGTAATCACCATAACTGTTAATACATTTAGCCCACTGTGAGACAAGACGATCAATGCCTTCATAAAAAAATGTTTGCGGTTGCCAACGGAACCATGATTGTACCCAGGCGTGAGCCTTTTCGTCCAAAGCAAATTGACAACCACGAATGTTTTTCTTCGGGGCTCCAAAACTATGGAAATCACATGGGGAGAAATCGGGACTGTATGGAGAATGAGTAAGGGCTTCCCAGCGAAAATTCTGCAGCGTAGTCGAAACAACCTTGGTAACATGTGGGCAGGCATTATCTTCCAACAGAATGATGCTGTCTGTCAACATTCCTGGGCGTTTAAATTTGATGGCACGCTTCAATTTTTTCAAAGTTTAAATGTACCGCTGTGCGTTAATTGTGAAGCTGTGTTTCAGAAAGTCAGCTAGCAGCGAGCCTCCATAGTGATGTCAGACACAAACACGACTCGCCGACCTCAATTCAAGCACGTCTAACAGACAAATCGCACAGCGGTGAATGTTCACGCTGTTCCTTCCTGATTCCCAATTGAAGGCAGTTCTATACACACACCGACCTGCATTACCAAATTCAGTGCCACACTTCTTATATAGTCTGACTCGTTTTCATTTCACTGCCCCTAATATTTTAAAATCATTTAATTCAAAATATCTAAAGTTAGTAATAACTTCCCCGTGTACATCACACATTTCCGTTAATAATAAAGTCGTGCCGGTCATCTGTTAATTAACGTTTAAAATTCAAAAAAAAATTAAATAAAAACGTAACTTTCGGTTTGAAACAAAAAATCATATATAAAAAATCATATATCATCATAATTGGGGCGTTCTGTCCCTAAAGTTTCCACATTTGGTCGCGGATTTCATATAACTCAGTTCTCGAAGGTAATACATACAAACTGACGACAGTGAAAATTTATGGGTGTACAATGACAAAATTTGAAAACAAATGTAGCATTCCTCCCAAAGCAGAATTGTCGCGTTGTAAGTAAAAAAAATTCAAAGCGGTCAGGAAATAAAATATCATGGCATGAGAGGTACGAGCGAAAGTTTCAAAGTTGGATCAACAACACTTGCAGACGTGTCAAATTGATTAAGCGATCACATTAAGAATTTAGGGGAGATATCCTTTAAAAAGTCAGAAATTCAAGGAGAAAGAATGGTTGTTTCCCCCTGACTCAGTCTGTTTATCCTCTGTGTCGATTTCCCCGTTGTCTCGGACTTAATTTTCGTTCGGCCGTATTATAAAGGTTTTTCGGTATTTTTAATATTAACTTTATCCAGTTTGATTAATAGGCCTACGCGAAACCCGCAACCCCGACGGCGACCGAGGAATCCTTCCGAAAAGCAAAATAATATTGGGCGAAATCCTAAGAATTTGATTTATTTCATGCCATGGTCGAAAATGGACGAAAAAGATATTTATTCGAACGAATTTCGGAGATGGTCAAGCCTCGAGACGTAGAATTTAAAAAGATCGTCTTTTACCTCTCCACGGTCGACATTCTGCACCATGTAAATGCAGAAGATAATTTATTTATCAAATTTAAAAAAGAAAAATAATTATAAATTAATTAATTGAAAAAAATTTTAAAAATTTATTTTTTTTAAAAATTCTAATTTTTACGAAATTCGAACATTGTTGACGCGTTTTTTAACGTTTGTTCGAAATACGTCACACATGACGAATCGCAGTTCGATTGTGTTTCTCGTTGCTGTCGGACGTGCTTTTCTTTCGCTCTTGGATTGCGTGCTGTTTTCTGCGGTTTCGTGCCTTTTACAGAGAAGATTGAAGATTTTTTAGGTAAGTCTTAGTCCTTATTGATCCTAGACGTAAGAATTTATTTAATATTACTTGGAGAATCGGTCCCAGAAGACATCTCGGCACATCGTTCGATGGTCGACCGTTTGCGCTTCGGATTCGAATCTTTTAGATTTAAAAAGGCGGCTGCGGTGAGCAGTTTGCTTTTACTCGGAAGAATTTAAGCATTAATTTAAGCTTTTGTTTTCACTGGACTAATTGCAAATTTTCTTTTTTACAGGATGAAGACGTTGGTGCGTTGTTGGAGGCGGTTCCGGCGGAGGCAGGCGGTGGCGCCGGAGGGAGAGGGTTCCTCGGACGACGCGGAACGAGTCTGTCGTTCCGTGCCGTTGGAGGAGCGGGGGCTCGACGAGCGACAGGCAGCGGGTGAAGAAGACCTTCGCCAAGTGCGCGTGGCGTGGCATCCTCCCGGAGTCGGGATGATGCGACGCTACACCCTGGGTCCAGTGCGCTTGGCCGAGGTCTTCGGGGGTCATCCGGCCACAGACCTTGCTGTGGAGGATGTCGAAAGTGACAGCTCGTCCG